TTCGGACATGTTCAGAGGAGAAGCCCAGATGCTCCGGTACGGAGGTGTGAGCAACTGGTTGTGAATGGCATGAGAAGAGGTAGAGGGCGACCTAAAAAGTATTGGGGAGAGGTGATCAGGCAGGATATGGCGAGGCTCCAGATTTCCGAGGACATGACACTTGATAGGAAGATGTGGAGGTCGAGTATTAGGGTTGTAGGTTAGGAGATAGTTGAGTCATTCCTTACTTCGTACCATTGTGGGACTAGCCATGTAGGGTTTTTGTCTAAGATAGCTATTGGCAATGTTGTGGCTTACTATTTCGCTTTTCAGTGCATGTCCTATTTACTAGCTATCGCTTTTGCTTTGCATCTTTCTTCTAGATTTTATGGTGTTCCTATTTTTCTTATGATTGTTGTGGTGATACTAATATTTACTAATATTATTTCCCTTTGCTTTGCATCTTTCTTCTGGATTTCATGGTGTTCCTATTTATCCTATGATTGTTGTTGTGATACTAATATTGTTTCCTTTTTGTCATTTTGTCATTTTGTCTTTTTATTTTTTTTTTGAGCCGAGGGTCTTTCGGAAACAGCCTCTCTACTCCTTCGGGGTAGGGGTAAGGTCTGCGTACACACTACCCTCCCCAGACCCCATTAGTGGAATTTTACTGGGTTGTTGTTGTTGTTGTTGTTTATTTGCAATGTGGTTAAATCGAGCTCTATGATTAATGAAATTTATATAGCCCACTCAAACTTGTATGAAATTGAGTCGTAATGATTTTATTAAGCTCCTCGTTAAACTTAACGAAGTTCATTGCTTGAACATACTTGAAAGATTGTTGGTGACTTGATGAGCATAATATAAGTGTTTGTGATAATGGATAGGAGAAAAACACCAAAGAAGTTATAAAAACTTTATTAATTTCATAATGGTTCTATTCATAACAAAAAGATCCATATCCATATAGTTTTATCTATGTCTCTGATTGAATAAATTCCACTTGCCAATGGCTATGCCTCGGTAATCCTTTTTGAAGGGAGGTCTCACAGCAGTAAGGGTCCCACCAACAACAAGATGGCACATCTGCCTGAGCACCTTCCAACATAGCCAGAATAACCATAAGCAGAAAAATCACCATCACCTTCTTAGCAAAACTCATGTTTCCTTCCGTTAGAAATATTTTATTTTACTGTGAATACTTTTGGAGTAGAGAGTAGGTATTTATACATGTATGTATCCATCAAAAAATCTCCATTAATTATTATATTTCCATTTTTCTAGTTTAAATGATCATATTATAGATATCTATTGTTTTTTTGGTAAGTATTTAAAAAGCATCATAGAGATAGAAAATAGAAAGAAATAAAATGTACTTGTGGCTGAATTTTTTTTATAGGTTTTGTACATTGGCTGTATTGATTTTTTATACCATCGAGTTAAATTGATCCACAACAACGGATATCTTTTTACAACAAGACTGATATGGAAGCCGGATAAATAAAGTGACCACCTATTAAAGTCAGTTAAATTGCATTGATAGCCAGTGTTATATTTCTTTATACTCAGTCGGGTATAACTTAAATCATTGGAATATACAAAGGTAAATAGAACCAATTAGTGATGGCAACAAATTAATAACGATTATGCAGCTGAATAAAATTAGAAGAGTAAAAGAATCTAATATTTCATAAATTTTACAGTTTTCAAAGAATTAAAATTCCTACTTCCGGATTTTACTTTACAAAAATATTTTCTATAATTTTGATGTCCAACTCAGCTTGTGCCCATCTCCATTAATTCAATGGGGTCTATAAAGTAGCTACATCTGTATCATGTATGTCAGAAAATAAAAGACTCATGTATTAGCTGCAGGATGTGATTCCAACAGGCAGAGTAGTGTGTATCATATGCACAGATAAATAATAAACCTCTCAAGCTAAAATACCAGCTATCTCAGAACTTACTAGCACTAAAGCCAAAACCAGCGAATACTATTTTTATCCAGAAAAATAATCCTTATAACATGCTACTACACTACGTAAAGAGAGTGCCTAATTTCAACGCAATACAAGAATCTCCAAACCAGAAATTTAAGAATATTGAGATGGACGTAAGCCTCTCATAGTTGGGACTCAGATTATGGTGGAAGCTGGAAACAATCCGAAAAACCTTTGATGAGAATTATATAATATATATATATGGTTGAGCAACATGATAGATCAAGGCAATTCACGTTGCCTGGACAGGAAAAACTCATAATCCGGGTGCCTGTTTACAAGTGTTTCTGTACCACTCGTTCTCACAGCTCGTGACATAAGAGATGCAGTCTGCTCTAATGTTTTTAGTCGATCTCGTAGAACTGAACAAGGATCTGAATCCAAGGTCACTTCTTTCAGGTGGTCTGCACAGTGCCTTGGCTGAAACCAGCATTCACCCTAGTTTCACCATTCATAAAAAAAAAAAAAGAAATACAATATCATCATTGTTTATTTCATATCTACATGCATGAATTGAAGTAAGAGTTAGGTATTATAGTATCTATACAAATAGTATTAATTGTAACTTAAACGCAATCAAAGGCAAAATGCAAAGACTTGGCCGCATGCAGTGCCGAGTATACTGAGGCTGAGTTAGCTATATACATAGTCCTTAGTCTAAAGTTGCAGTTGCTTGATCTAAGTGAGCAAACGCTTAGTTTTCCATCGACTGCATTTAGCAAAATATGTTTCTTTCTTAGCAGAGCTTTAGACACTTACTGTGCCAGATTTCAATAAAAAGAATCCCCATAGCTGTGCAAATTGTGCCTCAGCTGAAAATTCCCTATGTCTTTGTTGAGTTCTATGTACACCCAAGATTCAGGTGCTTTGTTATAAATATATTTCTAGTAAGTATCATTCTAAGCATAATGTTTTTATTTGTTATTATGACAGATAAGGGATCAATTTTCATTTGCAAACTACTTCAGCATGTTCTGAGAAACTGTCATTAAGGTAAAGAAAGCAGTGTAAATGCAAACTTAGTACATCGACAATTTTGATTATGTATAGACATAGCCACTATCTGCAGTAACATGCCAAAGACCCATTGGCGATCTCAGAATATGTGTGTGTGTGTGTGTGTATATATATATATATATATATATATATTAATGTTATATAAGAAACTTTGATATCAAACCTGAGCATTGTAGCTCTGAAGGCCCACAACTGGAGAAACTATGCAGGCATCCAAATGTCGAGCTTCAAGTGTATGGCCTCTGCCAACATAATGGCCAAGTGAATGATAAGTCAAAAAAGCAGAACGCAAGTTACCGTTTGGTATCTTATAAATGGGGTACCATGCGACAGAAAACCTGCAATTACAAAAGTACCATTAGATCTACATAGAATTTTGCTCTACAACTTAAAGATGATTATACTTTCACATACTTCTTTCCCTGTATTTCCTTTTTCCAAAAAGGACCACAATCGTGCATTGCGCTTCACACATTCAAAAACTAAATACAATCATACTAGAAGCCTTTTCCATACTAACCACGAATAAGGGTGCAGGTCAGATAAGCGAGAGGACTGTAGGACGGATGGATCTCCATAAACTCCAGAACTTGAAGGCAAATTACCAGCAACAAGTTCCTGAATCCTAAAACAGAGAGTAGGAGAAAGTCATCTTAGCAATGAATTGAAGTGCCTGTCACAAACAATATGCCTATCATCCAAATGACGGGCTAATGTTGTATAGGAGGCCATGGACTGGTCATCATATTTTTCCGAAGATACCAAGATTAGTGATAAATTATACTGATTATATGAAACATCACTTATCACTGATTATAGGAGGACATCTCCAGTAAATATTTTAACTTTGACCTACTTGTATGCAAAATTTACAGAGAAAAATTGATCATTACTTATAATGCTAAGAATAACAGCACTAAAATGATAAGAGACAACATAAGTACCACATACTTTTCAAATAAAGGTTTACGATTTTGAGGCTGTTCACGTTCGAAATATTCAAACAGAAGCTCCACATTATCATCAGACAACTTAAATTCAACTGGTGGGTGATGCAAATCTGTATTGCTGCGCTCTTGAGATGAACAGGAGTCAGAGACAACATTCCTTTTTTGCAAAGAGCTTGAGTCCTCAACACGAGGTTGAGGTACAAGTACAGAAAATATTGTGCGAAGGTCTACCATAGGTGAACCCTCAGATATTTTATTTATCCCAGAGTCCACCACATCTATCGACCCCGGAGTTCCATTATCTTTATAGCTTGTATGAGTCCTATGGTACTTGAAGAGCTGAACGCCTGAGAAAAGTGGAACAAAATATGCACTGAACTTAAGACGATCAATCCCACATTGTCTACAACTTCTATGATCCTCCGCTTTTACTTCTAAACCATAGCTTCCATGTTTCTCATACCACTGCCACAAGTTCCCCAAAGAGATATTTGGTATCTCATGCCTGCATAGAGGTGCACCTTGACCACTGACACAAGCCTGACAAGTCCGGATATGTGGACATACAACTGGAGAGGCAAAATAAAGAAGTTTCTCAAACTCAGCAACGGGATAGCCCTTACCCAACTCAATGGCTTCAGAGGATAGTTGTGCCCTATGGGCCTCAGTCACTGCCCAACAAATGCTTCTGAAATCGTTTTGAAGACTAGAAAATATTCGGGCTTTATCTCCAGGAATCAACAACTTTGAAGAAGCAGCATTCTTGTAGTGCTCCTCTGTAGTAGTACACGTGTTACAATTTCTCAACTTCTTAAACTGAGTAACACCTGGTAAAGATTCTAAATTTTGACCTGCATTTATTACCACGTGCAGAGAAGACGAACTAGGAGGTTGACATTTAGAAGCTAGTTGCTCCGTTGGGTTATGGAAGTTCGCTGATCTACATAACAAGTTCGACCCATCCTCCACCATTTTATTATCTACACTGGAAACAGAAATTGGAACTGGGACATCTCCCCTTGCCTCCATGTTACAGGAACAAGGATTTGAATATGGTTGGGAAGAAACATATTGAACATTCTTTTTCTGATATCTAATCTTAAGAGTACTAGTCTCAGTACGAGAATCTGCAGCACTTCTCAAGCTTTTTGCCCCACCTATTTGGCCAGCTGAATTCACTGCACCATTTGACTGCATGGTACAATTCAAACAAGCTCCATTGACAGGAGAACCTTTCCCATACTTACTTTTGTTTTCCTGTAGGGAACCTGGACTATTATTTCTACTCAGGTCCGTCAGAAATTTGAGTTTTTCCTGATCTGTAAATGCTGATTTCGATGATAAAATAACATCAACAAAAATAGGAAGATTTGTTTTGAAGATATCATCATTTAACCCATCATGAACCTGCGAGAAGTCTGAGTTTTTCAAGTCACAGTTGCTTACATTAGCGTCCTTTTTCTGAATTCTTTGCCATATATGCTGATAGTTTTCCTTCCCAGAGTGACTATTCAGGTTTCCAGCACTGTTAGCTGCATAGGCATTTGAATTATTTGGCACTTTCCCGAAGGACTTATCACTTTTTTGTGGCATGTGTATGTTACTACGACAGTTTTTCCTCTCAGCACGGCTACTCGATTCACTAGCAGTGTTTGAGATATCTCCAGTAGAAGAAATGTATCTCCTGGCTATAGGAAGAATGTTAGTAGAACATCAGATATCGCTCAGTTGTATACCATGAAGTAAAGAACATATTAGCAGAACAATCTTTCCTTCAAGTCCAAGCTAGTCAAAGTGGTTGTCTCGCTCAGTTGCAAGAGAAGTTTCAGATAGAGAGAAAAACATGTCTAACGAGAAACCAGCAACAAAGATTTATTCAACATATGATTGTGATCTCACAGATCAATTTTAGGAGAAACAAGGATCAACTAAAGTTAAAATGATATAGAAGAGGAAAACTGGACGAATTTTATGGTTTCATAGGTTAATTAATTCTGAAACTAAGAAATGAGATAGATGTTCAATTTCATGGTATCAGAGCTTAAGCTATTGCATTAGGTTTGTAAGCAATTACCACAAAAATATTACTAGTTCAATAATAAAAGTCATGCCAGCAGGAGCTGGAGACAGAATTATTGGAAGCTTGAACGGTATATTGGAGACAATGAAAGAAAAGAAATTGGAGGATAGACTTTACAAGCGAATTTCCGACTTAACTTTTCAGGATAATGAATGAAAAAGAGAAGAACCCAATGAACACTTCCATACTGCATAGAGTAAAAACAGAACAACAACAAATATATGCAAAACATTCAAGTTAGCCTTAATCACTACATTTGGATAATTACAATTAAACAATCACATTCAGTAAATAAAAACAACCAAAAAAGAGAAAGGCAAAAGAAACACTGCAAATGTAAGTAGCTTAAATCCAACCACGCAGTGGCGGATGTAGCCTTAGTGCTGCCGGTTCAACTAAAACCCAGTGTTTTCGACACAGAACATAGTTATACATGCGAAAAGCAACAAAATTTCAAAAAATACTACGTAGATTATAAACCCATAATTTTAAAAGTGCAGTGCAAAGAATTTTAAAGTTAAAATGCTGAATCTTCCTCTGCAACCACAAACATTATAACGTGCTATATATTTATTGTAAGCCCATAACCAAAATTACATAAAAAGAGCAATAATTTAACTTGAGGAGCTGACTTGGTGTGATTTTGTAAGTCAAGGAACAGTCCTTTCAATTTTTGTAACCTCTCATGATTAAGGGAAACAAACGATAGAATAATTAAGCACAGAGAGAAAAAAGCAACGAACTAGTTCACCTTTTCTGTTTTTGGGTCTTTACATAATTTGTTCAATAAACGACACAAACTCACGTACATACTAAGATTTGAGTACGAATATATAGAAGTTACAAAATCAAACCAGCATAAATTTCAAGAATTATGCATGCAAAAATACGTGTTTAATTAACAAAGTAGTACCTGTCTCTGTTTCGTTTTATTGTTTTCTGGGTATTTTTGTTCCCCATTAGGGTACTGGGTCGGCGGGGGAAGGGAGGAGGAGACCGACGACAGGACTGAAACTTTGGTCTGTGTGTGTCAAACGTTTGTTCGTAATGTACGATGACAGGAACTAAGAGGAATATGGAGTTTGTATTTATACTTTGCCAGTGTCCTAACCTAAAGAAGTAGGTAATGCTTAATTACATTAACGTCCTCTCTACTTTGTCTTTATCACAAGGACTTTCTTTATTTGGCATTTGTTACAAAAAGTTTTTCAGTTTTTGACAAAATTATTCTCAACCAAACGCCAAAGTAAAAAATTAAGAAAAAATTGAAAACCTTTTTTTTTCTTAGTGTTTGGCTGAATAGCAGGTTTTCTTTGCAAATAAATTAATAAATTAAGTGAATTCTTTTTTCTTTTCTTTTTTTGTGGGGGCAAGAACTCTCCAACTTTTTGAAATAGACGCCATTGAAGTAAGTAAAGTAATGAAAGTCAAATCTATAATAGATGAAAAATGAAAGTCAAATCTATAATAGATGAAAAATGAAAAAATAAGTTAGTTTCGTCGACCTTAATTTCTTAAAATTTACATATTGATTTGATTTAGGAGAACTTATAACGTTATCCTTTTTAGCATCATTAGCTGTAATAAGGAATTTAGTTAGTTCAAAAAGTACATAAAAGAAATCTATTAAAAATACCTAATGTAAACTAAAAAGGCTAATGGGAGTGCGCAAAACATATGGAGTTGTAATGTCAGTTCCAACCCAAAAGTACCTACGATAATAATCTCATGATATAAGTTGTACATTAAAGAGGAAGTCTTTGCCTATGGAGTTGTGGAAAAGAAAAGCGCAGAGGTAAAATGTAGTCTTATCTTATCAAACTAAAATGTGTATTTTGCATTGACTTTACCCTTTGAATGTTACAAAACTAATTCCAGATGTATACGGTCGAAATAGATTTCGGCCTCCGTACGTTTGATCGAGTTCGAATGGTAAGCGATTGAAGTGAGAGCTCGAGACGAGTTCCGAGGATAGAACAAACAAGCTTCGAGCTCCAAGACCGATCGAGGAATCGGCTCGGTATCATTATCGAGCCCATGACCAAATCGAACCGCAAGGTAACGTGAAGGTTGTCGGAGATGCACAGACCGATTGACACTCAACCCGAATGTCGAACTCGAACCAAGGCCGAGGGATCGACCCAATACCGAGCTCGAGCCAGTATCGAGCTCGCAGACAGGAATCGTTGCAACCGCACTAGGGGAGAGAATTTTGGTAGGAATTGAGGAAGAGACAATTTATCATGGGTTCTCCACTATATATTTTTATTATAAATAAATTAAGATTCATCTACTATAAATAGGGGAATCATTGTAAGCACGAAAATGGTTGACACATTGTAAGGGATAACAAACTGCCAATGAATCCCGCCACTTGAAAGATAAATAAACACAGGTTCTACTGCTTAAGGGAAAAAGTAACTCCAGGATAGGGGTAACTACACACTACATGATCAAACTAGGCTTCAAATCTCCGGAAAACCTCAAAATTGTAGACTAGGGGAGTACAAATCAAACCGACAAACCGCAAACTCAATAATTCGAGTCAAACCGAGAAAAAAAAACTCGATTATGGTTTGGTTTGATTGGTTTGGTGTTAGGAAAAAAACCCGACGATATTTGATTTGGTTTGATTTTAACTAAAAAAAGTCAAATCGAAACCAAACCAACCCGACATTATATGTATACAAATTTTAAATATATTTAATACATGAAAAAATTTATTGTAGTGTAGTTTATTAATATTTCTTAAGCCTTTTTATAATTTTATCTTTTAACGTATTATTTCAATCTTGGACTTATAATTTTTGGATGCTCCAATAAGTTTTATAGTCCATAAATGTTAATAACTCAAATAAATCCTAAACCAAAATCAAATCAATATTAATGATAATAAAACACATTCAGTTCAATTGTACTATGAATGAAAATAGTGTTGGATATCTATTTTTTTGTTTTTTCATGGTTTAGATAAAATGCACAACTTATTTTTCTTTTAGTGTTTAGTCATGTAAATAATAGTACTTATTAATCGTACTTATTTTAGCAACTTATTAGTAATTTTAAATTATGTTTGTTTTCATTATGGTTTATTAATAATATTTATTTTATGCGATTTTCTCATCTTTATTGTTGAATATTTTAGTACAACGCCATGAATCATCTCACATTTATATTATTTTATTAAAAAATACCTTATATAGTTCTGTCTTATTAGGATTAAAGAAATATTTGGAGCACAAATTTTATATTTTGTGGTATGAATACTTTATGAAAAAAAAATAAAACAACCCGAAAACCAGAAAAACCCGAGAAAAACCGAGATTTAAAAACCCGATTTTTATTGATTTAGTTTGGTCTTTAGATTTAATAACCCGATATAATTAATTTAGTTTGATAATTAAAAAATCCGAATCAACCCGTATGTACACTCTTACTGTAGACTATCTTGTTTACTCTTGAATTCAGCTGAAAAATAATATTTAGCTCTCACAAGACTATCCCATAATCTTTACATAATACACGCAAATAAAAAAATAAAAAAAAGAGCTCCTTCTGCTTAAGTTCTGTTCAAAACAAATAAATCAATCTGGATATATCTTACTAATGGATCAAAACCGATCTTTTCTTTTACGTGCTGTGTATTTGCTATCTGGAGGAACTGCGTTCCCCTTTTTCCTCATCTGTTCTTTCTTCTTCAGAACCCAATCCCTCCCTTTGCCTTTCTTGTTCAATTTTTGCTTTTTTCTAGGTCTACGCCGGTCAGATATGCAAACCTGCAGGGCAGGGTGAAATGAAAAAAAGGGATGATCAAAGACAGTAACAGAAGATAGAGAAGAAAAGATAGTAACAGGAGTAAATAAAAAGAACAGATGGTAGGGAGGAGAAGAGCCATTGGTTAGCTTCGGCAACGTTATTGTCTGATTGGCCAAGCTTCTAAAATCTGCTTATTTTGAGAAGTGTTTTGTTCTGTTATTGGTACTGATATATTGTCTTTTTCATATGCTTGAGCCGAGGGTCAATCGGAAACAACCTCTCTACCCTTTGGGGTAGGGGTAACGTGTGCGTACACTCTATCCTCCCCATACCTCACTTGTGGGATTTAACTGGGTTGTTGTTGTTGTTGTTGTTGCTGCTTTTCAAAAAAGTACTTTTGGCGAGAATCGGTTTGTGTTTGGCTAATTAATTTGAAAAGCACTTTTGAGCAGTAATTAGTGTTTGGCCAAGCTTTTGAAAATTGCTTCTAAGTGTATTTTTCTAAAAAGTGCTTCTCAGCAAAGTGCTTTCGGAGAGAAGCTACATTTTTCTGCTTCTCAAAATCTGCTTACGCTTCTCCTCAAAAGCACTTTTTTTAATTCTAAAAGTTTGGCCAAACACCTCAATTTTTGGCCAAAAGTGAAAAAGCTTGGCCAAACAAGTTATTAGTCAGTTGCCCTTGAATTACTTACCGTCTGGTTTTCTTCATCCTCGCTGCTGTCTTCATCAGAGCAACTCTCTCCATCTTCACCCTTTCCATCTGGAGTAGTGGTGCTGAGCGACGGCGGACCACAAGTCAGAACTAAGTACTCTTTCCTCCTTTTAGAACTGTGACAAAGAAAGAACATCTAACCTTGTGTCAGGACTGCAACCAAATAAAAAAGAATTGAACTTTCACTTGAAAATGCATTGTAGTCATATCCTGGGGTATAGCTAGCATACATCTCAATCACTAATAAATTCATGTTCGGTTCTACTATGAGGTTAAGGAGTGGAGCTGCACGTACAACCCTCTTAGGCGTCAAAAGGATAAAAAGCTTCGGTGAAAACTTGGAAGGTTACATTTTGTGGGGAAAAAAATTCATAATTTTGTGGGAAGTTGTTCAATTATTCTACGTAAAATTTCCATGATTCCATATAGTCCTGAGAGAATGTAAGAAAACACACGGAAAATCTGGATCAAGTGAAGAAAACTTGCACTTAGTCTAAGATTCGACAGAAAATTAAAAAGATATACAACGTTTCAGAAGTAGTTACAAAGGAAGTAGAGAACATACTCAGATTTAGAAACTGTCAAATGAAATGTAGATACAATCTGGTAAAAATCAAATTCTATTTTGCAGAAAAGGAATGACTTTGTTTTATAAATAAAGAAAAAAACTACTTTTCTTCTGAGGAATACAAAGCCTATCCACCTAAGCTAGAAATAANAAACAACCAAAGGAAAAAAGTCAGAATAGAGGAGATGCTCGTAGAATATTCAAGTGGAACAGGAGAGTAAAGGCAGAAAGGACCCATCCTGAGTTGGAGAGGATGATACTTGTCTTCAGGGTCAAAATATTTAACTTCTGGATGGGAAGAAAAACCAACTATAAATAACTTCTTCAATGAACTGAAACTCTGTACTTTCTCCAAGATTCACCATCTGTCTGATATCAGACATCTATATTGCTTTTCTGACTGTAATGCTTAACCTTATTGATACAGGGTAATTCATTTCTAAGGCAATATCTTTTCTAAGTACCAAAGCAAAACCTTTAGTGTCATATAATGATAAAAGGTAGAAGAATTAACTTCATTTGCCAAAAGGGTAGAAGAAAGAACCAGTCTCGTGTATCTTTTTGCAGCTATACAAGAAAGGGATAAATCTTTTTTGCTCTTTTTGCCCCCTTTTTTCAGCTACTTTTGCTTCATTCATTTCATTTTTGTGTTCGACACATTAAACTTTCACTTTGCCAAACACATCCTAGTTTCATCATATTAATGGAATCGACCAAATTAAAAGAAATTTTACAATATCCAGGTTGGTCCCCTACACCTCATCTTAGGCACCTTAAACTGTTACTTAATCCTTACGCACCCAACCCACCCCTTGCAAATTGTTTGGAGGGAGATTAGTAAGATTCAATTGGTACGGATGCTGAGCACGAGAGATGTATTGGGAAGTTCAGAGGAGGAAAACCTGATGGTCGCAAGAGCCAGTGTGTGGTTAACAAGTGTTTATCTGCTTTGATTGTTGCTGCTTGCAGATGGCCCAAACTATCTCGTTTCAGATAAATTGAAAGGTAACAACTA